AATTTTCTTCTGTACTTTATGGGAACAGTAAACCTATCTGTTGCACCACTGCCACAAAAATCAAACCATTCAATCAACATTCTACTTAGAAAACACAAACTATTCCCTGGTGTAAGGAGAGCGAGTCAGATCCTTACAAGAACACAAGTAATTTTCTAAGTATTGGGAGAGCGAATCATATCCCTATTTCTCACCTGGTCCTGTACTGGCCTATTTTTACTCTTCTGATTTAGGCCTATTCTTCTCTTATTTTCCTTTACCCTTTTTTATGCTTCACAATCCTACTTATCAATTAAACTTAAAACAACCAAAATTCAAGCACCATAATTCTTGTACCTATACATCACAGAACCAGAAAACACATTCTCTTACCCTCTGCAAAAATGACTTACACATTTCCTTCAAGAATAACACTTCTAGAATCCTCTCATGTACACTTCCACTTGCCCACTATTCACTTTCCTATTTCCTTCAGTTAACATGCTACTTAGAAAACACAAACTATTCCCTGGTGTAAGGAGAGCGAGTCAGATCCTTACAAGAACACAAGTAATTTTCTAAGTATTGGGAGAGCAAATCATATCCCTATTTCTCACCTGGTTCTGCACTGGCCTATTCTTATTCTTCTTATTTAGGCCTATACTTCTCTTATTCCCCTTTACCCAAACAAACAAACAAACAGACAGACAAACAAACAAACAAAAGACAGGCCTTTTCAAATTTTCTTTCTATTTTAAATGAAACAATTTAGAGACTAATCAATCTGAATTTTAAATTTAGTTTAGTTTTTATTTTGCTTTTGTTTTCCTTTTATTTATTTATTTATTTTAATTTAATTTCCCCATATTCACAACCACTTACAGCAAACTTACTTCAAAAACATGGATGGCGTCAACTTCTTTGGGACTACAGTTCCACAGACCTCCAACAACACACAGTGACCATAATTGGGTTTTCAAAAGGATCCCTTACCTCGATACAATTTGGAATGATGAGTCACTGGCGTGTCCTTGGTCTGGGAAAAGAGTCTTCTCCGAAGTATATTGCCATCCGGGTCACGGCACCATTTGTTGAAGAAATTTTACTCATAGTCCTCATGTGAAGTTTGCTGTAGTGGGTGTTTATTGGTATTCCGGTATGCGGTGGGCTCACCAACACAGAGCATGAGTCTGTGAAGGTGGACCGACCCTCAACATCTGCAGAGTCACACATTTATACTGTAAGTCAGAGGGTAGGGAGGGCCTGTATGTCAATACAGAGGTGAACAGAGGTAAATTAACATACAGTTGCTAATCAAGTGACCGGAGGTAAGGGGGGCAATAAACCACAAGTGATGAAATCGGGGTCTGGTGACCAGACGGGTGGTGGAGTCGGGGTTCTGATAGCATACAGTTGCTAATCAAATGGCAGGAGGTAAGGGGACAATGAGCAACAGGGGGTGGAATCGGGGGTCTGTGGCAGGAGGTGGGAAAACACAAGGCAAAGGGTGATGGGAAAACACATGGCAACAGGGAATGAATTCAGGGGTCTGTGACCATCAAAATAAAGGAAAATGACTTTCTTCATCAGTACATAATAGAAAAAATCTTGGAAAATTTTAGCAATTACCTTATACAAAGAAGAAGGTATAATAACATCAAACATTAGTTAACCTGGGTCATTTACAGAGCTAATTTTCTCCTCCTGAAGTTAAAGAGCAGCTCAGAGCTCTGATGTCTGATTTTTACACTGAACCCAAACGCCTCTCATCTGTTCCCTTTTTCTACTTTACTTTCACTTTGCTGAAGTTTGTGTCGCAGATCTTTTTCTCGTTGTGAAGGTAAGAACAGAAGCTTTTTCGTGTCCTTGTCGCCGTACAGCTCCACAGACTGATCATGGTGTGGAGGAGGCGGAGAGGAGCCGCTGCTCTGCCGCAGTCTGAGCCGCTCAGTGCGGCCTGAGCTCGGCCGGACAGCCGCTGGAGAACCGCTTCGACTGTCGGTGCTCCGGTTCGGTTGTTGGAGGTTCAGGAGCTCTCAGACGGACACACATTCATTACAAGGAGTTCGTATTAAACAAGCTGCTCTCATGATTCATGTCTTTGCTGCAGGACGGAGAAAGTCCTCAGATCCTGAACGTTACTCAGAGTAGAAATACTCCATTACAGTGCTGCGTTCAAAGTCTAACTTCTTCTGTTGTTCTGGTCTCGGATTATTATTCAGAAACTCCAGAACTCTGTTTTTATGAGTTCTTATGAACCAACTTGCTGCTCAGTCAGTTATGAAAGTTCAGTGGAAACAACCTTTTGATTTTTCTTTGATATTAAATTATTCTACGTGTTTAGTTTTTATTAACGTGAGCTGCAGCTACGCTGGTTCAGAAAATATCAGCAGCTGACTTCTGCTTTATTGGACACCTTCATCTTCTTCATGTTTCAACTCACCTGTGATCATAAATGATTGAATCTACTTGTTCAGAGTCACAGATTCTGAATCAGTTTCTGGCTGCAGGAGGAAACAGAGTTGATCAGAAGCTGCAGTTTGTGACTCTGCTGCTCCTTCAGTCACATTTTAATCAGACTGAGTCCATTTGTTCGTCTTTAACTTCGTTGTTTAGTTTCTGTTGGTTCAGGGAACATGTTGAACATCTATTCGTGTTTCCTGGTTTCAAACGTGACTTCTGATTTGATTTTAGTGTGAAGAAGGTGAAACACTTGTAGATGTTGGTGAAGGTGTTTGCAAATGAATCCGTGTGTCGCTGAAGTCAGTGTGTGTTTGCTGCTCTTCACTGCAGCTCCATGACTCCACCTGCTGGACTGAGAGTAGAAGTGCGGCAGCTGATGTTTTTCAGGAGGATCTCAGTGGATCAATGATGTTTGTTTCCTCTGCAGGTGAAGCTAGAAAGTGTGTGTGAGCTGCTGTGAGTTGAGCAGCATGGATCAGTGTGAGGACAGAGAGGAGGGAGTCCCTCCCTCTACAAGCTCTCTGTGTGGGGACCAGGAGAACCAGAGCAGAGCTCAGAGGTGAGACCACCATCTCCACCTGTCCATGACTCTTCTGCAGGTCAGAGTCAGCATCACATCACTGCTGCATCTTTATTCACAGGAACCCACCTGGACCTGGACCTGGATTTGAACCTGGACCTGGACCTGAACCCAGCTGTGCGTCCTTAAAGAGCGACCGGTCAAAAGGTGACCTCATTAATTTTAAAGAACATCAACCTCCTGCTGTGAAGAAGTAAGTCATCAAACATCAGAACTGACTGTTGTATCAACTCTATTGTTTGTTGTTTCAACTGCTACAAAGTTGATATTTGTAAAAATTTAAGATGATTTTTCCTTCCTGGTGGTTTTCTTCTCTATTTACCAGAATCCATCAGAGACCAGACTCCTCTGGACCTGGACCTGGACCTGAACCCAGCTGTGCGTCCTTAAAGAGTGACCAGTCAAATCCTCGCCTCATTGAATTTAAGGAACATCAACCTCCTGCTGCAGAGAAGTGAGCTGTGAAATATTCTCATTTATGACTTTACTGATATTTATCCAGATACGTTCATTAAACATTAATATTGTACATTTAACATGTTTTCCATGTTCTCCAAACTGTTGCATCAACTGTTCTAGTAGTTGTTCCATCCATACACTGATTGGATCAGTTTGTGTCGTCTCAGATCGTGGTGTTGCTGCTGGTTCAGTTTGCTTCGGCTCATTGTCTTACTGGAAAACAAATCTATTCCCAAGTCTCAGATCTCTTGCAGACTGCATCAGGTTGTCCTCCAGGATTTCCCAAAACGTTGCTTCATTCATTTAACCCTCTACCTTTACAAGCCTTCAGGGCCTGTTGTCAAGAAACATCCCCACGTCATGATGCTGCCACCACAATACTTGGCATCATGTTGCTGCCACCACCGTGCTTCACGTCATGATGCTGCCACCACCGTGCTTCACGTCATGATGCTGCCACCACCGTGCTTCACGTCATGATGCTGCCACCACCGTGCTTCATCATGATGGTGCCACCACTGTGCTTCACAGTGGGGATGGTGTGTTTTTAATGATGTGCAGTCTTTGGTGTCTGCCAAACAGAGCTTTTTCTCTGATGGCCAAACAGCTGGTAACCTGTTGTCCCGGTTATTATGAGCTTTTTCCAACAGTGTCTTTCTCTTTGCCACTCTCCCAAAAAGCTTTGGTTGCTGAAGAACTGGCAACAGTTGCTGTATGCACATTCAGCCAATGAAGCTTATAAACATAATACAGTGTACAACTCTTTCCCAGTCCAACTAGTCCAATGTTGAACTCTCCAGTTGTGGCTTCATGAAAGGCTGCTGGGGGCTTTGCAGATATAAAAAGAGCCCTTAAAGTGCACAACTCTGTGTCAGTATGGAAGAGATGTGATGGAGAAGGTAAAGAACAGGTTCAGCAACAACAAAACAAACGTATCTGTGAACTGCTTTGAAGTCAATCTTTGTGTTTGACACATTATTTAATCTGCAAAGCTCATATTGAATGTTGTTCTGCATTTTACAGTCACTGTGTTGTCAGAGTGAATGAACAGAAGCATTATACCTATAAAACTCTACACAACATGCAGCGACAGACAACAGCATGACTTAGAAACAGAGAAACTGATGATGATTCAACACACGTCACAATAAATCTCATGTTTATTGAAACGCATCATAAGCGCTGTAAGAACAAGACAAATAAAACAGTAGAGCAATGCTGCACTAAAAACAGAAGAAAACAATGTCAAGGACTCATCTTTACTCAAAGGATTTAAATTTCATTTATTTCCATAAAATAAATTCTCAGAAGATGTTTAAGTGTCTTTGACATACTGTGATTTGGAATTCTTTAAGTTCTGCAACAATATTTCACAGTCCTTAGCTTTGGGTCACAAATAACATACAAGTAAACTCTGAACATATGTTTCAGTTGAAAAAGCTCAGAATGAATCCAGGTGGTTGGATTCTGGCAGATATAATTATTTCTGTCAACCTGCCCACCATAGTGCTCTGGACACCTGGATATCTTCTGATGGATGTTTAGTTCTGGAGATGGAGCAGCAGTTTAGAAATCCAGTCAT